AGAGGCACTCCAAGTGGCCAGATACTGGTCAAAGGACATTTAATCAACTGCCAAGCTTGCAAACTTTGTGTTTTGTTTGTTTGTCTGTTTTGTTAAAAATTTAATACAAGTGTTTGGTTGCTCCTGACATGATAAATAAATAAATAAAATTGTCTCAGTAGCAAGCAAGTCGTTTCTGGTGTGAGCAAATTGGCCGTCTACAGAGACGTTGCCCAAGGAATGCCCGGATGTGCTACCATCCTGTGGGAGGCTTCTCTCATGTTCTTGCATGGGAAGCTGGGGCTGACAGACGGGATCTCACCCTGGCTTGTGGATTCAAACTATCAATCTTGAAATCTTCAGGTCAGCAGTTTAGCTGGCACAAAAGTTTAACCCATTGTGCCACCACGGCTCCACACAGACTGCTAAAAAGACAAATACATCCCAGAACAACTCTCCCTAAAAGACAATTGAACTGATTGAAAGAGCAGGGAAAGGAAGGTGTGGAGCACTGGGTTCTTTGGAGATGATGGAATGTCTGGAATCAATCGCATGAGGAAAAAAAATAAAAGGAATTTGAGAAACCTGAGTGGTATATGTTTTGTTTTATTTTGTTTTAATTATACACAGCATACTCAAAGGAACACTTCATTGAAGTCAAAAATGAAGAACTGGATGGCATCAGTGTCCACTAAAGGAGAGGGTTGAGTAGCCTGACCTTCAGCATCCATGTATAAACACACCTCTATGTTTCCTTAAAAGGCTAACACAAATATGCTCACTGTGTTGATTTTATGTGGTTTACAATATGTAGTTAAGATCCTGATGACACTGTCAACTCATTTGAAGTGTGGTGCTGGAGAAGAATTGTATAGATACTGTGGACTGCTGAAAAGACAAATAAATAGAGCGCAAAACAAACGTGAACTCTCTCTAAAAGCCAAAACAATTAAACTGATGTAATAATAGTTTGGACACAGGAGAAGACAGGAAAAGAGGGTCCTGTGTTGTCAAAGGCTTTCATGGCCGGAATCACTGGGTTGCTGTGAGTTTTCTGGGTCGCATGGCCATGTTCCAGAAGCATTCTCTCCTGATGTTTTGCCTCCATCTATAGCAGGCATCCTCAGAGGTTGAGGGGTCAGCCCGGAAAACTCACAGCAACCCAAAGATAATATTGTTTAGAAATGTTGAAGACAGTAGCAAAGGAGAAAAGTCACTGTACATGTAGATAGACCCAATCAAAGAGGCCAAGCAGTGAGTTGGCAAGACATGACTTATCATAAGGTTGTTGTGAGATGAAGCCAACTCAGCTGTAATTCATTACAGAACTTTTTGTAGATATTAAAATATCCTTTCTGAAGCTCTTTCCCTTTTTTTCAAATGAATTTCCCTTTTTTCAAATAAGTCCCTGTTAAACCACTGAGCTGCTGAACTTGTTAACCGAAAGGTCGCAAGTTTGAATCCGGGGAGCAGGGTGAGCTTCTGCTGTTAGTACCAGCTTCTGCCAACTTAGCACTTCCTCTCTTCCTTCCTCTCTTCCTTCTTTCCTTCCTTCCTCCCTCCCTCCCTCCCTTCCTTCCTCTCTCTGGATTTGGCTGGGGAAACTGGCTAGAAAGTGCCCTGTTAGCGTGAAATGTTTACATATTAAGTTTTACATCAGTTTATTTGAAGTTCAAGAGTATTTTATTGCTGTTTTAAAAGGTGCCCTTGCCTTTGTTCTGAAAAGAAAACTAGGGGATAAAACATTTAAATATACACATATATTTACACAGTTCCAAGCTTGAAAAACATTTTAATTACGTGGACAGTTCCGTTTTGGTTTCTAAACTTTGGGCACCCCCTTGTGGCCCACTTCTTCACGAGTGCGTATAATGAAAGGCAAGCAAATGAGCTATCCTTAAAAGCACCCAAATTCGCAAGAAAACTGTACTGCAAAAAAAAAAGAGAAACAAGAAACAGAGGTATAATGAAATGTTAGTATTTACTGTGTCAACTAGAATTATTATTAATGTCAAGGTGACTAGAATTACTTATGAATCTAGTCTACATTTTATTGATTTTCCCATATGTTGCTAACTGCTAGAGATTGGTAACATGGTATTGATAACTCTTATATGCTAGAATATTTACTCTCTTGATGTAACCCTGCTATATGCCTGCAAAACGTGGACTGTCTACAGATGTCACACTCCTGGGACAATTCCATCAGTGTTGCCTCCGGAAAATCCTGCAAATCTCTTGGGAAGACAGGACAAATGCCAGTATGCTGGAAGAAGTAAAGACCACCAGCATTGAAGCAATGCTCCTACTTCATCAACTCTGCTGAACTAGCTACGTTGTCCGAATGCCCGATCACTGTCTCCCAAAGCAGTTACTATACTCCCAACTCAAGAACGGAAAATGTAATGTTGGTGGACAGGAAAAGCGATTTAAAGATAGGCTTAAAACCAACTTTAAAAACTGTTGCATAGACACCGAGAACTGGAAAGCCCTGGCCCTTGAGTGCTCTAACTGGAGAATTCGAAGAGGCATGATTGGGGGGCGAACAGGATAGACGTGCCAAGAGGACGGCGCATCAAGCCTTGCCTTGCCTTGCCCTTCTATACACTTGCGAAACATGGACTGTCTACAGATGTCACACTCAACTCCTGGGACAATTCCATCAGTGTTGTCTCTGGAAAATCCAGCAAATCTCTTGGGAAAACAGGCAGACAAATGCCAGTGTGCTGGAAGAAGGAAAGACCACCAGCATTGAAGCGATGCTCCTACTTCATCAACTCTGCTGAACTGGCTACGTTGTCCAAATGCCCGATCACTGTCTCCCAAAGCAGTTAGTATACTCCCAACTCAAGAACGGAAAACGTAATGTTGGTGGACAGGAAAAGCGATTTAAAGATAGGTTTAAAGCCAACTTTAAAAACTGTTGCATAGACACCGAGAACTGGGAAGCCTTGGCACTTGAGTGCTGTAACTGGAGGTCAGCTGTAACTAGCAGTGCTGCAGAATTCAAAGAACCATGATTGGAGGGTGAAAGGGAGAAACTTGCCAAGAGGAAGGTGCGTCAAACCAACCCTGACCGGGACGGCCTTCCCCCTGGAAACTAGTGTCCTCACTGTGGAAGAACAAGTGGGTCGAGAATAGGTCTCCACAGCCACCTATGGACCCACCACCATGACACTACACTTGGAGGACCATCATCCTCAGTTAACAAGGGATCGCCTACATAAGTAACATGGCATTGATAACCCTTATATGCTAGAATATTAACTGTCTCGGTGGCTGTAATACTTAGTTCTTGGAATCAGATTCACCAGTCAATATATTGAATAAAGTCAATTTTAACTTCATTTATAGTTCACAATTACTCATGAGTAGGGAGATCTGACTTGTTTTTCATCAGTGGGAATTGTATTTGTTTCTAAAGAAACCAAGTAGCTCCATATTTGAATTAATAAAATGTGTTGGGAGAAGATACTTGGTAAGTATCGATCGGTGATTTTGGTAAAAATAAAATAAAAACAAAATACAAGTTTGTCAAGAGTTTGGTGAAAATAGACTTGACATTTGGGAGTTGTAGCTGCTGGGATTTATAGTTCACATACAATCAAAGAGCATTCCAACTCCACCAATGATGGAATTGAACCAAACTTGGCACACAGAACTCCCATAACAAACAGAAAATACTGGAAGGGTTTAGTGGGCATTGACCTTGAGTTTTGGAGCTGTAGTTCACTTACATCCAGAGAGCACTGTGGACTCAAACAATGATGGATCTGGACTTGGCACGAATAAACAATATGACCATATGTGAACACTGGTGGAGGTTGGGGAAAATAGACCTTGACATTTGGGAGTTGTAGTTACTGAGATTTATAGTTCACCTACAACCAGAGCATTCTGAACTCCACCAATGATAGAATTGGGCTAAACTTCCCACAGAACCCCCATGACCAAGAGAAAATACTGTGTTTTCTGATGGTCTTTGGCGACTCCTCTGATACCCCCTCGTGACCCCTCCCAGGGGTCCCGACCCCCAGGTTGAGAAACACTGGTCTAGACCTACCTCCACTCACCTTGCTTCACCCCGCATAATACACGCTACACAAAGGACTATTTTGTAGAAAGCTTTTTGTTTTATTAAGTTATTTCCCAAAACAAGTTCATTCTTTTATCTTTAACAAGTTCCAATAGTGTCAAGGGGGGGATCCAAAAAAAGGCAAGAGAGCAATAATAATAATAAAATAAAATAAGAAATTCAGATAAAAGTCCTGGGGGGATTTTACATTTTTCTCATCATCCATCAGATAGAAAAGAGAGAGAAACAAAGGAGAAACAAGAGCTCTGAATGGGAGCATTTCCAAGTCCTATTATCCCAAACTCCAGCCCTCCTGGGGTTCTTATCACCAAAGCGGAGCCCAAATTCGGTTCAGATACCCTTCCCAATTCTGCGTTGACAAAGCCCCTTCCTTTCTTCTTGTCCAAAGACCCAATGATATATTATCGTAAGCTTTCATAGCTGGGATCACTGGGTTGTTGTGAGTTTTCTGGGCTGTATAGCCATGTTCCAGAAGCATTCTCTCCTGACGTTTCACCCACATCTATAGCAGGCATTCTCAGAGGTTGTGAGGTCTGTTGGAAACTAGGAAAATTGGGTTTTTATATCCGTGGAATGTCCAGGGTGGAAGAAAGAACTCTTCGTGTGAATGCTGCAATTGGCCACCTTGATAAGCATTTTATGGCCTAGCAGTTTCAAAGTTTAGCTTCTTCTGAAAATGAACAAAATCTGGCTACCAGTATTTTAAAAAACTCTAAAATCATAACAGTAAATAAAGAACAGCACTCAAAAACAGGGGAAACAAGAAACAAGAAGGGTCAGCTAATCACCTCCCAACAAAGGCAGTAAGAATCCAGACCTTGAAACTGCTAGGCTAGTGGTTCTCAACCTGGGGTCCCCAGATGTTTTTGGCCTACAGCTCCCAGAAATCCCAGCCACTTTACCGCTGTTAGGATTTCTGGGAGTTGAAGGCCAAAAACATCTGGGGACCCCAGGTTGAGAGCCACTGAGCTAGGCCATTAAATGCTAATCAAGATGGCCAATCTACCTCAAACAGACAAGAGTTCTTTCTCCCACCCTGGACATTCCACAGATATAGAAACCCCATTTTCCTAGTTTCCAACAGACCTCACAACCTCTGAGGATGCCTTCCATAGATGCAAGCGAAACATCAGGAGACAATGCTTTTGGAACATGACCATACATCCCGGAAAACTTACAACATCCCACCCAATGATCTGTTTTTTTGCGCACTGCAATTATAAATGCAATTAGTAAGCCCATTAATGGCAGTGGCACTTACTCCAAAGGAAAGAGGCAGACCCTTCAGAGGAATACGGTAGTGGTCGGAGGGTCAAGAAGGCACCGTTACTGCACACAGAAGCACCCTTTTTTCACCTTTTCGAGGCAGTCCTCAAGCTGTATTTGACTACTACTCCCATCATCCCCAACTTGAATGGCCATGCATGGGATGCATGATGGAAAGTATAGGCCGATTTATCTAGAGCAGGGGTCCTCAAACTTTTTAAACAGAGGGCCAGGTCACAGTTCCTCAAACTATTGGAGGGCCGAATTATAATTTGAAAAAAAAAACATGAATGAATTCCTATGAACGCTGCACATATCTTATTTGTAGTGCAAAAAAACCCACTTAAAAACAATTCACTAATTAAAATGAACAATTTTAACAAATATAAACGTATTAATATTTCAATGGGAAGTGTGGGCCTGCTTTTGGCTGATGAGATAAGATTGTTATTGTTGTTGGGTGCTTTCAGGTCATTTCAGAATTAGGTTGACACTGAGCGAGGGTCGGGTAAATTACCTTGGAGGGCCATAGTTTGAGGACCCCTGATCTAGAGGATGCCAGACTGGGAAAGACTGCTCTGGTCCAAGTTGGGTGGATGACATAATTTGATTTCCCATGAAAACACCAAAAGTTGCCTCTATTTTTCTTATAGGATTGTAAGGCCCCTGATGTCTTGGTATTAAAGAGAAGTGCTTCTCAGAATGTGTTCCCTTTAGAGCAGATATGGGCAAAACTTGGACCTTCTAGAGGTTTTGGACTTCAACTCCCACAATTCCTCACAGCCTCAGGCCTCTTCCTTTTCCCCTTCAGCCGCTTAAGCGGCTGAAGGGGAAAAGGAAGAGGCCTGAGGCTGTGAGGAATTGTGGGAGTTGAAGTCCAAAACCTCTAGAAGGTCCAATTTTGCCCATGTCTGCTTTAGAGATAGAGAAGGGTTGCTTTATGCCCTTTGGAAAGTCATATATATATTTGTTTCTCCCCGTTGCTGCAGAGCGACTGTGAGAAAAGTGGCACTTGTTTGAATTCTCCCTTCGATATACGAACAATTTGAGAGCAAAGGGTGTCCTGCACCACATGCAACCCAGCCAACCTGTGTCCCCACGGAGTCGGACACTGGGAAATCCACAGTTCTCTTTCCATACGATTCTGCTGGCCCAGCTCTACGACAAAGATTGGGAAAAACAACAGGGCTACAAAGAAAGTTGGGGAGGGAGAAAGGCTGGTTTCTGGACTCCAATACACACGTTCCAGAGAACAGGATGTTCGTTCTAGTTGGTTCAAAAGGAGCAGGGGAGAAATCCTTCCAGTGTTTTCTCTCTTTGCTACAAGGGGCAAAATCTACAGAGTTATAGCAGTGGGGCTAATCGGGCTGCACAAATTCCCCAACAGTGAGGAAGTGAGGGGAATCCGGGTTTTCTCTAGTGACAACAAAGCAGCATGTGATCACAAAGATTGTGTAGGTGTCCCTATGTAGCATGTGCTGGGGCCTTCAGGAAAGTTGAGGCACCTAACCATCAGATCAGATAGTGTTGCCCTTCTGGACAGCCTTGTGTTTTGGGTCTGCTTTGTAGGTAAGTTTGCTGATGATTTAGTCCCATCACACAACGACCCAATGTTCCTCTCCTCCCCACACCCACCCTCAGCCACCCACACCAAAGTTTCAGATCGTTACATGGATGGGGCTCTGGAAACCATCTGGAAGGTTTTCCATTTCAGGAAGGTTTTCCATATCAGGAAGGTTTGCCATGTCCGTTCCTCCAGCCCCGTCTCTCATGTGGATCCTCTGGTGGTAGATCATGCTGTGCCTCCTCCTGAACCTCACCCCACACTCCCCGCACTCGTACGGTCTCTCTCCCGTATGGATTCTCAGGTGCCGGGTGAGGTGAGACTGCCGACCAAACCTTTTCCCACACTCGATGCAAGGGTAGGGTCTCTCTCCGGTGTGGGTGATCCGGTGCCGGGTCAGGTGAGACTGGCGGCTAAAAGTCTTCCCGCACTCAGCACAGGGGTAGACCTTGTTCCCCAGGTGAGTCTTCTGGTGCCTTGTGAGGGCATAGAGGTCGTGGAAAATCTTCCCACATTCCATGCACTGATAGGCTTGCTTTTCAGTGTGGGTTCGCTGGTGAGCAGCCAGCTCCGAGGGCCAGATGAATCCTTTTCCGCACTCGGTGCAAAAATAACGCTTCTCTCCCGTGTGGATTCTCTGGTGGGTGGCGAGCTCCGAGGGCCACCGGAAGGCCTTGCCGCACTCGCCGCAAAGATGGCGCTTCTCAGGCGTAGCAGCTCCAAGGTATGTAGTAAGGTGACCGTTGCTGTTGCTGCAGTTGTTAACGACAGGTGAGCTGTCCCCGGTGTGGGTTTTCTGGTGCGCAAGCAGCTCCGAAGGCCATTGGAATCCTTTCCCACACTCCGAACAGAGGTAGTGTTTGTTTTTGTTGTGGGTTTTCTGGTGTGCTGCTAGCTCCGATGGCCACCGGAAACCTTTCCCACATTCTGGACAGAGGTGGGGTTTCTTGACCGTGGGGGCCTTGGTGAAGTTGGCTGCCGGAGGGGTTTTCTCTCCTGTGTAAAGGCTTGGGTTTATTGGGAACTCTGGGGGCCACTGGAACAACATATCAGAATCAAGGTTATACTGCGACTGTTCGCCCGAATGGATCCGCTGGTGGATGGCAAGCTCTGTTGACCAGCGGAACCTTTTGCCGCATTCTGTACAAACATGGCATTCCTCAACCATGTGGGTTTTCTGGTGCCTGGTGAGATGCGAGGATCGGCCAAACTGTTTCCCACACTCAGCACAGTTATATGATTTAGGCCTTGTGTGGACTTTCTGGTGCAGGGCCAATTCTGACTGACACCGGAACCGCTTCCCACATTCCATGCAAGGATGGCGTTTCTCTCTCACACGGATCCTTTTGGGGGGCAAGTGTGGCACTGCTCCGTTGAGTCTTTCCCCAAATTCAAACTGGACATCTGCTCTGCTGGGTGTCCTGGCACCTGCTTTAAAAAGAAGGGGGCAGGAGAGAGTTCACAAGTTTCACCACAATGAATTCTAAAGTGTTCACTTAGTTAAAGTAACGATTCAGTTATTGCAACTGCTAAAATAAACAAGTATTTTCCTGCTGAGGGACCACAACAAGGAGAAGGCCTTTCTGGTCTCAATGGGAAGGGAATTCCAGAGTTCAGAACCAGTCACTCAAAAGACCCTGACTTGCAACCCAACCAGTTATTCCTTGGGAAGGTGGTGAGACTGAGAGAAGGACTTCTGGGTCCAGGGAGGCTAATAAGGAGAGATACAGTTTGTTGGACAACCTGAACCTAAATTGTATATGACTTGATAGGTTATAACCAACATTTTTGATTGTACGCAGATTGACAGGAGTATGGTTCTGGTAACGAGCCATGGTTAAAGGTTAAATCTGTCAAAAGTATTATAAAATAACTAGGTATTTTTAATTACAAAAATGTGAGTTAAGCACTGAAAAGGTTAAATGAATGCAGTGACTCAGAAAAAGCTTCAGTTCTATATAAGCAGGTGTGGCTGCAGATTAGGAGCCGTCATTCTGAGGTAAACCTCAGTGGGAGAAAAGTCTCAGTCTAAGGTAAACCTCAGTGGGAGAAAGGTCTCAGTCTGTGAGAAGGCCTCACATCTGTGAGAAGGCCTTACTTTATATGAAAGCCTGGTGTGAGAAGCTTCGCTGAGAGAAGCCCCAGGTTGAAGTGTGAAAAGTTGCTGTGTGTAAAGCTGCTGTGTGTAAAGCTACTATGTGAAGCTTGGTGTGAGAGGGAGCTCTATGAGAGCGAAGCTAGAAGCTGATTATCTGCAAAAGAAAGAAGTCCAGCGTAGAAGCAAAGAAGGAAATATAAAGAACTTCAATTGTGTTATAGAAACTTATTGTAAATACTTCAACCATATTATGTTACTACAAAGAAAAGGCTCCTATGGAAGAGATAACATTGGTCTGTGTGTTTTTGTTCTTTTTCTTACTTTGGGCTACTGGTGCTGATATGTTACTCTGTTATACATTTATAAGGAGGGTATTTTGTTAATAAGCCCACTCGCCCAACAAAATCAACTATTTCTTTCCTCTGTTTTGAGATAAAGTGCTACAGCAGGCCATGCTTTGATAGAGACATTCCCCTTTCTGTTCTCTGCAGTGAATATCTCCTGCAAGAGAAAGAGAATGCCTCTTCCAAAACAGAACTAATAATCTGCAGCTTTCAAAATGTAGTTGTATTGTAAATAGAACCAATGGGACCTAAGACAACATGCTGCATTAAGAACTTCTTTGTGTTCAAAGAACTTTACGCTATACAGGTTTTTTCACACTCGCCACTCAACAATTAGCATTCCATACATACTAGGAATTCTCAGTTGCCACTGTTCTCTTTTGGAGGGTTAGAACTATAGGTAGTTCTTTTTTAAGATATAAAAGGAAGAGATATTATGATACTGAACTGAAGGATCTCTGAACTGGAGTCAACTGCCTTTGATTTTCTACCCATGGGTTACAAAATGGTAAAAAAAATAATTGACTGCAAACATAAGGTTGTCACTGAGGCCCCTTCTACACTGCCATGTATAATCCAGATAGTCTGCTTTAAACTGGACTATATGGCAGTGTAGACTCATATAACCCAGTTCAAAGCAAATAATGTAGATTATCCACTTTGATAATCTGGATTATATTGCACTGTAGAAGGGCTCTGAGACAAAACTGGGGAGATAAACAGTAGTATCCTTGAAGGAAAACAGAATACGAATATCATTAAATTACAGAATATGAATATCATTAAATTTAATATCATTATATTAAAAAGCATAGATGAAATTTTGCTCATGAGAAGTAAAGTAGATGGAAATGGTATGAGTGGTGGTACATAAATATGTGTATAGGTGGGTGGGTAATACTGTGTTTTATAAATTATTGTAATCTACTTCAAATGTAATATGCAAACCTAATATCTATATACACACTTGCAATAAAAAAGGTGGAATACTTCTAAGATTAGGCTATGGAAAGATTTATCCAGACTTTTGGCCCAGGATGGAACATTCAACATGCCTCCAAATATTTTCATGCCTGAGGCAGGAAACTTTTTATCATGTCAGAAGCAACTTGCACTTTGTTCTCAAGTTGCGTCTGACATGATTTCAAAAAAAGTTTCCTGCAAGTCGCTTTTGGTGTGAGCAAATTGGCCACCTACAGTGACATTGCCCAGGAGACGCCTGGATGTGTTACCATCCTGCTGGGAGGCTTCTCTTGCAATAATACAATATAATAATAATAATAATAATAATAATAATAATAATAATAATAATATATTATTATTATTATTATTATTGTATTATTATTGTATATTTTATATTACACTAGCTGTGCCCTGCCACGCGTTGCTGTGGCCTTTAGTAAGAGTTTTGAAGTCTCTGCCTGGCCTCTCTTCCTTCCTTCACTCGCCCTCTTTCCCTCTTTCTCTCTCTCACACTCCTTCCTTTCCCCCCCCCCCTCTCTCTCTCTCTCTCTCTGGCATCCCTCCTTCCTCCCCCTTCTTTATGCTTGTGTGTAAACTTGAGTATCTTCTGTTGGTCATGGGGGTTCAGTGTGGCATGTTTGCCCCAATTCTGTCGTTGGTGGGGTTCAGGATGCTCTTTGAGTGTTGGTGAACTCTGAATCCCAGTGACTACAACTCCCAAATGTCAAGGTCTATTTCCCTCAAACTCCATCTGTGTGGATATTTGGGCGTATTGAATGCTTTGGTCCGGATCCATCATTGTGTCTTCAAAGTCGCCCCCTCCCTTCTCCCCACCCCTTCCCTCCCTGAGTCACTCCTTCCCTCCTCCCACCCCCTCCGGAAAGACACGCCCCCTCCCTTCGCCCCACCCCTTCCCTCCCTGATTGACTCCTGGAAGGAAAGGGGTGGGGTGAAGGGAGGGGGCGTGTCTTTCCGGAGGGGGGGGAGGAGGGAAGGAGTGACTCAGGGAGGGAAGGGGTGGGGAGAAGGGAGGGGGCGACTTTGAAGACACGCCCCCTCCCTTCGCCCCACCCCTTTCCTCCGTGACTCACTCCTTCCCTCCTCCCTCCCTCTCCGGTTAGACACGCCCCCTCCCTTCGCCCCACCCCTTTCCTTCCAGGAGTGTCTCAGGGAGGGAAGGGGTGGGGCGAAGGGAGGGGGCGTGTCTTTCCAGTGGGGATGCGGCGCGGCGAGGCTTGGAGTGTGCGGAGCGGGGCTTGGAGGCAGCGTGGGAGGAGTAAGATGAAGGAGGGGGTGGAGGGAAGGGGGCGGGGGGAAGTTGCGTTCTTTGTGTGTGTGTGTGTGCCGTGGGGAAGTGCGGTGACGTGTTCGCGCTGGGCGGGGCGAGGGAGGGAGGGAAGTGCGTTGGCCGTTCGGCCATGTGTGCGCGCGCGCTGGGGACTTTGCGCCAGTGCGCATGCTCAGTTGTTTTGCCGTTTTTTCTGTGTGTGGTTGTGTTGTTTTGATTTCTGACTGGATTAGTTTGTACCTAGTGGGTTGTCCTTGGGGCATGGCAATTTTGGTGGAGTTTTGTGGAGGGGTTTTAGAGTTTTGCTTCCCCGTTGGACGCCAGTAGGAAATTTATAGATATAGATACTATACCATTATATTGTAATATTATTAGTATTACATGAAATATTACTAGAGCTGACAGATGGGAGCTCACCCCGTCTCACGGATTCAAACAAGTCGGAACAAGGCTTCATTGCGCCACCGCGGCTCCTGCAGGAAACTTAAGTGAAGCCTTCTAGTGAAGCTTAATTAGTGAAATAACTAAATCCCTGCTGATTTTTAATAACCCCAAATAATATAATGTGAGCTGCTTCCCCCTGTTTATAGAAGGATGGATAGGAAAAATTACTTTTGGAATATAACTCTGCAAGTTCCCCCAGGAGTTAAAAAAAAACAAGCCCCAACTTTTCCAAGCTGTGTTTCCTGCTACCATGTACAGATTGGAAGAGTTTTCTCTATTGTACCTACCGGAGCCTCCTTCTCCTTCCTCCGCTGAAGAATCCCATGTTGCTTCGGTGTCAGAAGAACCTATATAAAAGGAGAAATTAGCCAATGTGGTAGCTAACTTGAGACATCTCTTGCAACACAGAAAGGTAACCTTTTTTCCCTCCCCAAATATTTATACAACATAATGTGTTCTCCTGGGGAGCTCAAGCTCCAACTCCAAAATAACAATGAGTAGCAGTACTTCAATAATCACAACCAACCTAAAAATCAGTTTTGATGCAAGAAATTAAAACACACCCTCGATCTACAAGTCAAAGTGCATTGTATCCTCATACCAGTCAAGCTGAAAACTCTGTATACACTTTCTATATCTGCAGTGAAAACTGCTGCCCTTTCATATCTGTCTCCCCTGCAATAATACAATATAATAATAATAATAATATATTATTATTATTATTGTATATTTTATATTACAAGTAATATTACTAATAATATTACAACATAATGGTATAGTACAATATAGTAATATATAATGCTGATACTGTACTATGCTAATAATATAATATATTGTTTCTATATATATCTTGTAAGCCTCTTTGAGTCCTCTTCGAGGTGAGAAGGGCGGCATATAAATGTCGTAAATAAATAAATAAATTGGATTGTTGTAGGTTTTTTCAGGCTATATGGCCATGTTCTAGAGGCATTATCTCCAGATATTTCGCCTGCATCTATGGCAAGCATCCTCAGAGGTAGTGAGGTCTGTTAGAACTAGGAAAAAGGGTTTATATATCTGTGGAATGACCAGGATGGGACAAAGGACTCTTGTCTGTTGGTGTAAATGTTTCAACTGACCACCTTGATTAGCATTTGATGGCATGGCAGTGCCTGAGGCAATCTTTTGTTGAGCGGTGATTAGATGTCCTTGTTTGTTTCCTCTCTGTTGTTTTGCTGTTGTAATTTTAGAGTTTTTTTAAATACTGGTAGCCAGATTTTATTCATTTTCATAGTTTCCTCCTTTCTGTTGAAATTGTCCACATGCTTGTGGATTTCAATGGTTTCTCTGTGTAGTCTGTAGTCAATAAATAAATTGACTGGCTGAGGCAGCCACCTCCTTCTGCCCACTGAAGCCCCTTCCACACAACTGAATAACACCCCACATTTTCTGCTTTGAACTGGAATATGTGGTAATGAGGACTCAGATAACCAAGTTCAAAGCAGATATTGTGGGATTTTCTGCCTTGATAATTTGGGTTATATGGCTGTGAAGGGCCCTGAGTGGTTTTGCTATGAATACTGTAATGCTTCTGACGTTACTTGAGATATAGACAACACTTAGTTCACTTTGGCCAGTTTTTAAACTCCATTCCCACTGATCCACCTTCTCACACCATTCCTTCTGCTCTCTCTTGGCTGTCTGGGAAAGAGGCTTAGAATCTGGCAGCAGACAAAACAAACCAAGGAGGTGGATCGGTAGGAAAGGAGTTTAAAATTTGGCAGAAGAAAGAGTAAGTTGAAGAGGCAGAAAGAGGGTTTAAACTTTGGCTGAGTCTTCATGGTGGAAAGCGAAACGAGGGGTTGGAAAATTGGTAGGATTGGCCTCCAGATGCCTTGAATTGGCTTATTGCAGCCCAATTCGTTTTGTCAAGGATCATCTGATTCATGGCAGTGTGTGCTTCTAAGATGCCACTTGTATTCTGTATTACAGATGTCATGTCTTTTTAATTACAAAAATGTGATTCAACCACTGTGAGGGTTAAATGGATGCAATGACTTAGCAAAAACTGTAGTTCAGGTGTGCTTGTTGCTAAGTAACACCTCAGTCTGTGAGAGAAGCCTCTTTGTGTGAAAGAACGCCTCAGTGGGAGAACAGATCTCAGTGATAGTAGGCCTCACTGTGGGTAAAAGGTGTCAGAGTGTGAGGTAGGCCTCATGTGTGAAGCTCCAGTGTGAAGGTTGAACTGTATTTCAGGTGTGCTTGTTGCTAAATAACACCTCAGTCTGAGAGAAGCCTCTCTGTGTGAGAGAAGGCTTCAATGGGAGAATAGATCTCAGTGATAATAGGCCTCACTGTGAAAGAAAGACCTCAGAGCATGAAGTAAGCCTCATTATGAGAAGGCCTCATGTGTAAAGCTCCAGTGTGAAGGTTGAACTGTAATTCAGGTGTGCTTGTTGCTAAGTAACACTTCAGTCTGTGAGAGAAGCCTCTCTGTGTAAGAGAACGCTTTCAGTGGGAAAGTAGGTCTCAGTGGTAGTAGGCCTTCCTGTGGGAAGGTAGGCCTCATTATGAGAAGACCTCGTGTGTGAAGCTCCAGTGTGAAGGTTGAACTGTAGTTCAGGTGTGCTTGTTGCTAAGTAACACCTCGGTCTGTGAGAGAAGCCCCTCTGTGTGAGAGAACGCCTCAGTGGGAGAATAGATCTCAGTGAGAGAATAGATCTCAGTGATAATAGGCCTCACTGTGGGAGAAAGACCTCAGAGTGTGAGGCAGGCCTCATTATGAGAAGGCCTTGTGTGTGAAGCTCCAGTGTGAAGGTTGAACTGTAGTTCAGGTGTGCTTGTTGCTAAATAACACCTCAATCTGAGAGAAGCCTCTCTGTGTGAGAGAACGCTTCAGTGGGAGAATAGATCTCAGTGGTAGTAGGCCTCACTATGGGAGAAAGGCCTCAGAGTGTGACGTAGGCCTCATTATGAGAAGGCCTCATGTGTAAAGCTGCAGTGGAGAAGGTTGAACTGTAGTTCAGGTGTGCTTGTTGCTAAGTAACACTTCAGTCTGAGAGAAGCCTCTCTGTGAGAGAACACCTCAGTGGGAGAACAGATCTCAGTGATAGTAGGCCTCACTGTGGGAGAAAGACCTCAGAGTGTGAGGTAGGCCTCATTATGAGAAGGCCTCATGTGTAAAGCTCCAGTGTGAAGGTTGAACTGTAGTTCAGATGTGCTTGTTGCTAATACCTCAGTCTGAGAGAAGCCTCTCTGTGTGAGAGAACGCCTCAGTGGGAGAATAGATCTGTGATAATAGGCTTCACTATGGGAGAAAGGCCTCAGAGTGTGAGATAGACCTCGTTATGAGAAGGCCTCGTGTGTGACGCTCCAGGGTGAAGGTTGAATTTTATTTGTGTCATGGAAGCCTTGTTCTTGTAAATATTGCAACCATATTATTTTTTTCATAAAGAAAAGCCTCATGCGGCTGCTGATAAGTTACTCTACTGTACATTTATGAGGAGGGTCTTTTGTTAATAATCCCACTCGCCCAACAACATATACAATAGAAAATAAGGAATTAAGTCCTCAAGGTGCTGAAGAAGAAGCAGCCCAAATAAGGGATGAAAAATACTTACCTAGCAAACAAATATCCACGTCACCCCTCTGTTCTGCTTCCGTGTACATTTCTCCCTGCTCAGCGTCTGATAGGACCTGGTCGTCATCAGGAAAGTTCACAACCACTTCTTCAAATAGATCTGAATCCTAAAATAGGAAGCCAAGAAACGCATGAATCATGGAAACCAATTCATTATTGGCTAAAGTTTAACCAGAGTTTGCAAAAGTCTAGACTACTTATTTATTAATTGTATTAATATTATTTATTTATGCCACGTTCCTTCTGGTGTGGAGCCCAGAGAAGCTTGCCAACAATAAAGTACAACTCCAAGAATTCTGCAGGGATTTCAAAAACAAAAAAACACAAAACTTATCCCAAACTCTATGTTTAATTGACTAAATTTACAGTGGGGATAATAAGATCTGGTCCTAGATTTACTAACATGCATACAGAGGCAGGAACCGCCAGTGGCGCAGCTGGTTAAACTGCTGAGTTGCTGAATTTGCTGGCTGAAAGGTCACCAGTTCAAATCCAGGGAGCGGGGTGAGCTCCCGCTGTTAGGATCAGCTTCTGCCAACATAACATTTTGAAAACATGCAAATGTGAGTAGATCAATAAGTACTGCTTCGGCGGAAAGTTAACAGTATTCCATTCAGTCATGCTGGCCACATGACCTAGGAGGCACCTACAAACAATGCGGCTCTTCAGCTTAGAAATGGAGATGAGCCCCATCCCCAAGAGTCGGATATGACTAGATTTAATATCAAGGGGGGGAAACCTTTACCTCTTTATACATAGGCAACACAAAACTACATCAAAAGGATTTCTAGAAATGACAGCCAACTTATTTGTCATTATTCTCTAGCTCAATGCTTCCTAAACCGTCGGTCCAGGATCCTACACAGGTACAAAGAAATGGAGTCTCATATTATTAAATGGTGACAATGCAAAGGCCTTGAATGGATCATTGATGATACTGCCTCTACCGTCCGATATTTTTTGTGTGCTGTAGTCCAAAACCAGTAACTTTTCAAACCTGAGCAAAGAGGATATGAGGTTTTATACTACAGCAAATCTAGAATAGATGTGAGATGCATGTGAGAAGACACACAATCTATATAAATAAAAATGTAATGTTCGTTTGTGGGATTAACATAACTCAAGAACCATTGCATGAATTGACACGAAATTTGGACACAATACACCTATCAGGCCAATGTGTGATCATCACTCATAAAAACACTGAAAAACACAGTGGAAGGGACTTAAAAATCCAAAAAAGGCCAAAAGACACTAAAGCGTATGCGCAAAATGACTCCCCCGGCAAACAAAACACACATACTCTCTTCTGGACTACAGCTCCCAGCATCCCCTAGACCAAGTCCTTTAGGTGAGGAGGATGATCCAAATGCACTGCTTCCAAGCTGCAAGCTTTCTTCTCTTTGGATTTCTTTGAGAGCATCTCAATTCCTGCATATTTCCTATTCCTGGACTGCAACTCAGAGCAATCCTCCAGATAGGTAAGATAGATAGATTAGATAAAGATAGATAGGTAGGTTGATCTGGACAACTGCTGGGAGTTGCAGTCCATCAATAGGTAGAGAAGGAAGAAAGGGGAGAAAGAGGAAGGGAAAGAAAAGGGAGGGAAGGAAGGAAAGAGGAAGAGAGGGAAGGAAGGGGAGAAGGAAAGAAAAAAAGGGAAGTAAGGAAGGAAAGAGGGAGGGAGGGAGGAAGGAGAGAAAGAAAAGAGGAGAGAAAGTGGGAGGGAAGTTTGGCCACAGCAACGTATGGTAGGTACATCTAGTATATATGTGTGTGTATGTATATATGTATATGTGTGTGTATATAGAACTAGACGTCCCCTGCCACGAGTTGCTGTGGCCCAGTCTGTGTATATGTGTTTTGTGTGTATATATATGTGTGTGTGTATATATTTGTGTATATGTGATTTTGTGCATGCATTGTAATGAATTTTTAAATTTTGGCTTTTTAAGTCCCTTCCACTGTGTTTTTCAGTGTTTTTATGAGTGATGGTCACTTGTTGGTCTGATAGGTGTATTGTATCCAAATTTGGTGTCAATTCACCCAGTGGTTTTTGAATTATGTTAATCCCACAAACAAACATTACATTTTTATTTATATACACTAGCTGTCCTCTGCCACATGTTGCTGTGGCCCAGTCTGTGTATATGTGTTTTGTGCTTATATATATTTGTGTATATAATAAATTAATAATAAAACTCCTGCGTGTTTGTGTAAATATGTGGTTTTCTGCGTGCTTTGTAATGTATTTTTTTAAGTTTTGGCTTTTCAAGTCTCTTCCACTGTGTTTTTCAGTGTTTTTATGAGTGATGGTCACTTGTTGGTCTGATACGTGTATTGTGTCCAAATTTGGTGTCAATTCACCCAGTGGTTTTTGAGTTATATTAATCCCACAAACAAACATTACATTTTTATTTATATAGACTAGCTCTACCCGCCACGCTTTGCTGTGGCCCAACCTTCCCCTTTTCTCTCCTTCTTTTCCTTCTTCCTTCATTCCTTTCCTTCCTTCCTGTCTTTCCTTCTCTTCTTCCTTCCTTCTCTATCTCTTTCCGTTCTTCCCCTTTTCTTTCATTTCTGCTGTCTCTTTTCTTCTTTCTCTCTTTCCTTCTTTCCTTCCTTCCCTCCCTCCCTCCCTCTCTCTCTACATCGTCCCCCCTTCCTCCTCTCCCTCTTTCCTTCCTTGTTTCCTTTTTTCTTTCCTTCTCTCCTTCCTTCTCTAACTTTCCTTCCTTCCCCTCTTTTCTTTCCCTCCCTCTTTCTCTCCTTTCTTCCTTCTCTGCCTCTTTCCTTCCTTCCTTCTCTGTTTCCTTCTTTCTTTTGCTCCCTCCCTCCCTCCCTCCCTCCCTCCCTCCCTCTTTCTTTCTTTTCTCCCCTTCCTTCCCTTTTTTCTGTACTGTCATTTAACTTTTAGTCATTTAGCTTTGTGGGGCTTTTTCAGTCCCTTCTGTTGTGTTTTTCAGTGTTTTTATGAATGAAGGACATACATTGGGTTGTTAGGTGTCGTGTCCAAATTTGGTGTCAATTCGCCCAGTGGTTTTTGAGTTCTGTTAATCCCACAAACGAACATTACATTTTTATTTATATAGATTAGTAAAAAAAAACAAGAACAACCAAAAGAAAAAGGAGAACGCTTGGAAATTTGCTAGAGCTAATATTATAGCTAGATTCTGCATTCAAGTCTGTATTCTTTGTGTGACGGCCAAGCAGAATCCACAACTCTGCTTGACAGTCGGGGAAATGGAAGCAGACCTGTAACGCTGGCTCCCTCCCATCCACTTCTCCATCTGCTGCTAGAAGCCTCCAATAAATTCATGCCACTTATGGCCTTCTGACAAACCCTACAAATGACACACCGTTTTCTGACTGCAAGATGTAGGTTACGCATTTTGTTTTCTTAGCAAGGGTTGCTGTCTTGATATATGCATTTTTTTCAAAAGCTGGGTCTCTAACATAGGATTGCTTTATATGCCTCGAGCAGACAAGAGTGGATATTTTGTCTGTCTCGTTGGCTTGTGGAAAACGCGAGGCAGCCAGCTGGTAAGAGAGAGGAGCAAACCCTTTGTTTCCTAGGTTGCAGGACTACCATTCCCAAAAGGCATTGCGCTGGTTTCTGTGAATTCGAAGCACACAACAGGTGCAAAGGTCCTTCCAGGGTTTGCAGGCAACTATAACCATCTTTTGGAAGAGGATGGACAGGGAAGAATGGGAATGTAGTAAGAGAAAGGGATCTGCAAGATACAGGGAAGTTGTTGCCAATATACAGTAAAAGACTGTGGCTGTGGTACTTGCCTTGACACCACAGAAACAGTACCGGAGTCTAAGCGCCTTAGGCAAAAATGAAGCGAAATATTGTCTGTACCCTCGGATTCAACCATCCGCAGCTTGAAAACATTTTTTAAAATCCCAAATCAAACCTGGATTTTGCCATTCCATACAGGGCGTGACATTTGATATAAGGGACACCATTTTATTACACAATTGTATATAATGGAATTTGAGCACCCACAGATTTTGTTATCCATAGGGGGGGATCCTGGAATTAAATATCAGCAGATACTGCAGGTACAAGTATGGTGGGGAAGAATCACAAAGGGATTTCAATACTTAATCACTCCTTTTTTAAAAAAATGCAATACTATAGCATCCTATAGGTAAAGGTTTCCCCTTTAAGTCTAATTGTGTCCGACTCTAGGGGTTGGTGCTCATCTCAATTTCTAAATCAAAGAGCTGGCGTTGTCCGTAGACACTTCCAAGGTCATGTGGCTGGCATGACTACATGAAACGCCATTACTTTTCCACCGGAGCATTGCCTACTGATCTACTCCTATTTGCATGTTTTCCAACTGCTAGGTTGGCAGAAGCTGGTGCTACCAGTGGGAGCTCGCCCTGCTCCTCGGATTCAAACCACCTACCTTTCGGTCAGCAAGTTTAGCAGCTCAGCGGTTTAACCCGCTACGCCACCGGGGACTTCTTAGTATCATAAGCATGACATAAATTTACATGACATGTGAAAAATAAGATTTCTATAAAAGATGTTCAGTGCCATAGAATCATATACAGTATGTGATGTTACTTGGGAACCGCTCTGAGTCCCCTCGGGAGATGGAGCAGTATATAAAGTATTATTATTATTATTATTATTATTATTATTATTATTATTATTATTATATGGGCCCTTTGTGACTTTTGGCCCATCCTATAAACCAATAAAGCCAGTTATCCCTAGCATGAAGCAGTGTAAGACAGTCATTTCAAGACACCACAATATTTCACAGATTTACTGGATTTGATACTATTCAATCATTAATTCATTCAACTGATTTCAATCTACCTACTAACTAGTACTCACTGTCCAAGCTGTCTCTAACATAAGCAAAGTAAGGATATCAAAACAAGAGACAATTGGCAGCAGAGACTAAAGCATTTCAGCACATAGGAACAAAGGAAAGCCCACCAAGTGCTGCCCCATTTTCACAGCCTGGGGCGGCAAGGTTGGGGTGAGGAGGAGGAGGGATGCTTGGTGGATTTCCTGCCTCAAGTGGCAAAATAATTGCGTGGGAACCTGAGAAAAGGCCTTTCCTGGTTGTGGCATGCCTTTTCC